ATCTCGGAGCTTCAGCAGGGCCCTCTCATACTCTTCCTGGTCTCCGCGCCATTAGAATGAAGACCGCCGGAATGTAGTACCCCTGTTTCTCGATAAGAATGACCCACAATTGCTGCCATCCTTTGGGCGCCACGGCAAATGTAGCATCAAAAATAAGACCACTGCTACCATTTAATGCGTTGATATTGCGGTCTGCAGCCCATATGATCATTGGCCGACCGGCATCGGCATGTAAGAGAAGTCGTTGATCATTTCCCCTACACTTGTCGACGTCTCGCTGCACCAAATTAACGAAATCCTGATAATAGCCAACTCTATCCAGATCGAGGCTCTTTAGCGCAGCCGGTTGTCCTTGCGCTCTGGCAGCGCGATAGGCTACCTGCTCGAGGTTCCGCTGGTCCCGCAGCGTCGTGTTGGCCAAACCGCCGTCAGCAATGATACCTTCGACTAGCCCATCCGTTCTTCCATTGTTGGCCACTTCTGCCTGGATTCGTCGCCTCTGACGAGTCTGCGTCTCCCTTCCCTCATCGGGTTCTCTGTCGCACTCCGCTCCATGCGCACCTGGCCTCCTAGTGAAATACAGCCGGTCGTTGCGTACTTGCACCGTAAAGGAGGCATAACACTTTTTGGAACAGCACTCATATCGACTCTTGGAATCTTCCAATCCCTTCTTAAACCGATACTGCTGTTTGTTTATCCATATGCTAGGCTTGTTGTTGTTGGTGGACGATATCCATCCCTCAGGTATGGGTATGTCCCCATGGAGAACCTGTCAACGAATCGCAATCAAGTTATTTTCCAATATTGTTCGATATTGGGACGATGAAAACTTACCCCCTCGGCATCACCTTCACTCTCATTGACGCTCTCTACTTCGGCTGCTGCTGCAGCAGCTCCAGCGTCCACTGGTACACCTTGTGGAGCAGGAGGGGCTTGAGCAGGAGGGGCTTGGGGAACAGGGGCTTCTTCTCCATAATCGACAAGGCCATCATCAGTTAAACGAAGGACAGGAACACGTTGGAGTAGATGTGGGGCATATTGATGCACAGCCTGGTAGGCAGACATCGTGTGTGGCAGATTCCGTTGAATCCTTATCGCGTCCGCTGCCTCGTACAAGCCTGCATAGGACCAAATATAAGACTGAAGTGCACCACGAGTAAACCCGAAATGGTGTGAAGGTAGCAGAACACATTGATCTTCAGTCACTGGGCATCGCGGCGATGAATCAAATGGAAGGCGATGCCATCGCCTTCCATTTGCGATAAGCATGTGATTGAACAGAACGTTCACGTGATCGTTCAGATCGTTCCGATCGTTCAGATCGTTCAGATCGTTCAGATCGTTCAGATCGTTCAGATCGTTCAGATCGTTCAGATCGTTCACGTGAACGATCTGCGGGGCCCGCAGATCGTTGAGGTCGTCACGATGTTTCCACTCGGCTCGACACGCAGGGCATACTCCACCACGACGTCTGATTGCGAGACTGTGGTGAGTGAGAAGTGCCAACATTTTAATTCCCAGGCAGTTTCGGCAACACCTAGTACCACAGTCGCATTTCCATAACTCCGGGTCATTCGGATAGTTCTCCCCACAAGCCAGGCATGTGCGGCTCTCATCCATCGCTGCAGTGAGCTCGAACGAATAGACTGCGACCCCCATTTTAGCATGCAAGTCGTCCTGCACGATTGGTAGACGTTCCCCATCATAAGTAATGGCTGCACGCAGGGAGAGCTTGCCTCCATCAAATCGGATTGTGCGTTCGATAGAGTTGTCTTCCGAGCCATGGCCAATACCGAACACATACCGCGGAACAGGTAGGTCTCCAAAATTCACAACTGAAGGATCACCATTCACACCGCCTCGCAACCTCATTAATAGAACTCCGCGACTCGGCTGATCGAGTACAGTAAAAGCTTGAACGAGTCCGCACAGGCGTGGTCTTACTCACACCCAGACCTGTTGCCTTGTCAACCGGGTTCCCCATAGGTCTCTTACGATCTCAGTGATAGCAGAATCCAGGGACGCCTGAACTCTTGCGAGTGACGTAATTGTAGGAGAAGAGTTGACGCGAAATTGAAAGGGTAATTGAAGCCACAGTAGTGCATCCATCTTCCATCCCGCAGCTAATTCATCGGTGGGTGAAAGATCTGCATCCGTCAACTCAAGCTTGATACGAACAAGGGCGGTAAGTGCTTTATGCACAATCTGAGATTAAAAATTCGTGTCTGTAGCTTATTGCCTTATCGACTAATAATCGCCATTCAGCATGAATAGAGCAATGATGTTTATTCCCAAGTTACCTTATGTTCCGCGTCCTTTACGAGCGCGTTCATTGCTGTTACGAGCTGTACACCCGCATGCGTCTCCAGCTCGATAACATGGACCCTCTCAAGACCACAATGATGGTCGACGAAACTAAAGGATCGAAGAAGGTTAGTGGGACATAGGAACATACGGTCTGGGACGTTCGGGGTTAGTTCTGTTTCGGGTCTGATACTTATCGTGTCAAGTACCCGATATCGAACTGTTGGCCACTGCGTTTATAGAATTGTTGAATCTGTTGCTCGGTGATAGCAGGTCCTCGTGAGGGATTGATATCCTAAATGATGGACGAATGAAGTTTCATGAAGATGAGAAACAGTGACCGCTCACTTTCAGCGCTCTTCCGATCTCATCTGGCTTATACATGAAATTTACTTGGAGCTCTCGCATTGTTTTCACGAATGTCGCCACCAGCGAGCTATTCGTCACTATACGGCGTTTCATACGATCACAGCGAGGACAATACCATGGTATTTGAGTGCCAGCATGCACGGCGTTCTCAAACCTTGGAGCGCACGTTTCAATATGGAACCACAGTTCGCAGGAGTCGCATTGCACGCCCTCTTCCGGATCGCCCTGAGGCCAATATCCACCGCAAAGGCCGCAGTTGTACTGAATGGGGGACATGGTTGGATCTCGTGAACTTAAGTATAACTAATTACATTAACACTCATTAGATTCATATTTCCTATCAATCCCTATCGACCCTTATCCCGGTCTTTGCGAACAGTCCACGTTCATACTTGCTAGCCTTCTGTGAGGACAAATGAGTGTTTCAATGCCTTCACCGCGATAATTTTGTGCGCACTTTGTTCAAGAAAACTAAGGATATAAGGGCAGGGACAGATTCGAACAATTTGGCGAAATACCAGACATACCGACAAACTTCACCACATAGTTGTTGCGACACACGGGTTTTGCCGAAGTTCGTCAAATCTGGAATACGCAGTGTTTTGCCAAGCTCCTGGTTGGCGTAAGACAGTACTGAACCCTGTTCCGCCAATCCCTAGACTGTGCAGGTAACGCCAATTCCAAGTCT